AAATCACATATGAGCAAGAGCCTATGGTGATGAAGGAAGAAGTTGAAGCTGCTTTGAAGGAAATAGCAAAAAATAAGGCCCCAGGAATAGACGGTATACCAATTGACATATTTCAGCTCACAGATGCTATGCTAGATGTGCTCACCAAGTTGTGCCAAGATTTCTGGAGAACAATCACTTGGCCAACTGACTGGAAGAGATCTATATTTGTTCCCATTCCAAAGAAGGGTGACCCAACAGAATGTGGAAACTATAGAACAAGATCGTTGATTTCACATGCAAGCAAGATTCTACTGAAGATTATCAAAAACAACTGGAACAGCAGCACATCAGCAGAGAACTGCCAGAAATCCAGCCTGGGTTTAGAAGGGGTCATGGTACTAGGGATATTGTAGCTGATGTTAGATGGATCTTAGATGAAAGCAGAGAATATCAGAAAATGTCTCTGTGTTTCATTGATTATGCAAAGGTATTTGACTGTGTGGATCATGACAAACTGTGGCTGACTCTGAGAAGAATGGGAATCCCAGAACACTTGATCGTTCTAATGTGAAACCTATACTTGGACCAAGAGACAGTCATCAGAACAGAGCAAGGAAATAATGCATGGTTCAAAATTGGGAAAGGCGTATGCTAGGGATGTGTCCTATCTCCATAACTTTTCGACCTGTATGCAGGACTGATTATCCGAGAGGATGGGCTCTATGAGAAGTGTGCCGTCAGGATTGGTGGAAGATCTATTAACAATCTGCGTTATGTAGGTGACACAACCCTATCTGCTGAAACTGAGGAGGACCTGAAATGCTTGCTGCAGAGGGTCAAGGACTGCAGCCTTCAGTATGGATCTAGGCTCAATGTCAAGAAGACAAAGATTCTCACCACTGGACCAATTGGCAGCATCAGGATGGATGGTGAAGAGACTGAGATTGTTAACAACTTTAGTCTGCTTGGCTCTATGGTCAACACTCTTGACACCAGTGGCCAGGAAATGAAAAAACGTATTGCCATGGGAAAGTGTGCTGTTAGGGACCTCTCCAGGTACTGAAGAGCAATGGTGTCACCCTGGAGACTAAGGTGTGTCTGGTACAGGCCATGGTCTTTGTAATCACTTGATCAGAGAGTTGGACAATGACTAAGGAGGATAGAAGGAGAATTGATGCCTTTGAGCTGTGGTGCTAGAGGAAAGTATTGCATGTACACTGGACTGCCAAGAAAACAAACAGATTCATCCTAGAGAGGGTTTAACCAGGCTGATCCTTGGAGGCAAGGATTCCGAGGCTTCGTCTGACATACTTTGACATGTAAGGAGGGACCAATCCTTGGAGAGGGACATCATGCTTGGGAGGTTGGAGGGATGGCACAGAAGTGGAGGACCCTCTAATGAGGTGGATTGATTCAGTGACTGGGGTAATCAGGATGGGTGTGTCAGAGGCAGTGAGATGGGCACAGGATAGAGCAGGGTTTAGGGCTGTTGTACATAGGGTCGCTATGAGTCGCAAGGGACTCGACGGCATATATCAACAACAACAACAAAACTACTAAATAGGACTAATTATTTAAATTTTTTTTTTAGGATGATGCTTCTTGAAAATTGCTTAGTTGAAAAATGGAGAGATCAACTTAGTAAAAGATCCATAGTAAGTATAATTATTTTTTGAATGTGTATTTAAGTGCATGCAGAGAAATGCTATAGAATTTGGGAATTCTTCTTTTAAAAATGTTTGAATTTAGATCCAATGCAGTATTAGTCCTGTGCCAGCTGTAAGTGGAGTCAGCAATAGCCACTATTTGATTTTTGATTAGGTAGTTAGGGAGCATGAAGCTTTGGCATTTACTGCGACTTCCATCATTCAATTTCAGATGTGGTTTGGTGAAATTCCATACTGACCTGCTATTTACTTATCATGTTTGGGTTTGATCTTAGGTTTTAACATTTCACTTTTCTATTTCACATTCACTTTCATATCAAAACAAGTCATGTTATTAATATAAATTGTATAATTAATATAAGATGTATAATTAATAAAAATTGAGATTAAAACACATATAGTTTTTATGCATGCAGATAGCTAGCCACTTTATTAACTATACTAACACTTAGAGACCTCACCTTCTATTTGAATAAGTTTAAGATTTTTTCAAAATAAAACATACAAAAAATAATTATCTGGTGTCAAAAGCCTTAAATTTACTGGTAAAATTGCAGAAACATTTGTAGTAATTTAATGAGAGGAATTTAAATGGTATTTTTATCAGAGACCTAAAATCATACCAGAACCAGAAAAATTTTGATATCTTTCTTTAAATAAAGATGTTTAGAAAAATTCTGGAGAATTTGTTCTCAAGTTCACAATAGGTATTGCCAAAACCTGTGCTCGCTGAGCTTGAAATCTCTTGGATGAGAGGAGTTAATGGGGTTAATAGCTATCAGTTTAGTTCCCACTTGAGGGGATCCTATGTACAACAGAACAAGAATGGACTTATCTTCTCTATCTTCATGAACTCTGCCATCCTAAATCCATTTTTGTAGCCACTGTTTCTTTTGAATGCCTTGCAACCCAGTGGCCTCATCTTCCAGCACTGTACCAGATAATATTCTACTGTGTTCTGTAGGATTCTCACTGGCTAAATTTTGAAAATATTTATGTCCTTTCTTCCTGTTGTTATTGTTGTTATGTGTCATCGAGTCACTTGAGACTCATAGTGACCCTATGTACAACAGCCCTAAACTCTGCTCTGTCCTGTGCCAATTGAACTGTCTGACACGCCCACCCTGATTACTCCAGTCACTGAATCAATCCACCTCATATAGGGCCTTCCCCTCCTGCGCTGTCCCTCCACCCTACCAAGCTTGATGTACTTCTCCAAGGATCGGTCCCTCCTTACAACATGTCCAATGTATGTTAGATGGAGCCTCAGAATCCTTGCCTCCAAGGAGCCGCCTGGTTTAACCCTTTCCAGGCTGAATCTGTTTGTTTTCCTTGCAGTCCATGGTACCCTCAATACTCTTCTCCAGCACCACAGCTCAAAGGCATCAATTCTCTTTCTATCCTCCTTAGTCATTGCCCAATTCTCTGATGCATAACAAGTGATAGCAAAGACCATGGCCTATATCAGACGCACCTTAGTCTCCAGAGAGACACCATTGCTTTTCAGTACTTTGGAGAGGTCCCTAAATCTGTCTTGATCTGAAACCTATCTCAAAGGCACACCATTCAAATCCACCAGCTATTCTGCAGGAGAAGGATGGGCACTGTCCTCCTGGATGATTTACTGCCTCTGAAAACCCGCTGGAGTGTCAGCTATGAGTTGGTTCCAACTCAATGAAACACAGCAACAACAATAAGCTACCATAGGAGAAACGTTGCCTGTATTTGAAATATCAGTCATATAGCTCCCAGCATCTCAACAAAGCACAAGTCCGTGGAGTCCATAGAACACAATGAGTGCAAGTCAGGAAGTTGATGTACTCAGTGCAGGATAGCTATTATTGTTAGGATTAATAGATTGCCATGAAATCACTTCCTTAATTCTGCTTTTGCTTTAACAGCATGAAGTGGTGAGAAGTAGTAGTTGATGGTCATTTTTATAAATTGTCTCCCCAGCAGTGGGAAGAGAGGCTGCAGGAACATCAAAGAATGATTCAGGACCAGAGAAAACTGACTCAGGACAAGAAGCAGCCAGCTGGTCGTACCAGTCGTAGCAACCCACCGAAACCAAAGGGAAAGCCACCTGCCACCAAATCCAGCAGCTCCAAGAAGAGTATTAACGCCAGAAGCCCCCCAAAGAGGACACACTCAAAAAGAACATGAGCTGATTTCTTTGCAGGATGGAAACTTCTTAAGAGGATGAGTCTGTGCATTATCCAGGACAGCTAGTCACCTCTTGCCTTAAAAACGCACTGCAATACTCTCCATAGACATGTCTTGCAGCATTTTTCTGAATACTCTGCTTCCATTTTTCTTCTTAACCCTCCACAAGGCATAGAGATAGGTTTGCACTTTGATCCAGTAGGGGGTTAAAGCTGGTTGGGGTGGGTGGGGGTGGACGACAAGGCTATCATGTTTAGAGTGACATGCATGCTATTCTGTGAACCTCATGTGGAGTAAATGTGGGTTTTTGTTCTTATAATTCAAGCTAATACATGTACTATAAAATAAGTACCTGGTTTCAAACAAGCATCTATTTTTTGTACAATATTTCATTTCATGTTTATTTCGGTTGCTAGAATGTTAGCAATGTTTTTAAAATGCTATTGAAATGTTTTGCTTCTAAGAAAGAAAGTAAGAAGAATGAATGTTTTAAAAAATTATGGTTTAACTGTATTTAGGAGGATTTTTAGTGATGTAAGAGGATTTTTAAAAAAACTTAGAAAAGTAAGGTGTGGAAAATCATGTGTCTGGCAGGGAAAACTTTCTGCTCTGCTTTTAGCTAGAAACCTTGGAGACTAAAACAATACTAGTAAATAAATAGGGGAAGCAGATAGACATTGTCTGGATTCTTGATAATGGTTAGCTTGCATTGGTGGGGATGCTCTAATGTAAAAGGTAGTCCATGTTACTTCTTATTACACTTTAAACAGTACTCTGAACAGTGTATTTGTTTCTCTTATTATGATTTAAGTGATCAACCCTTTTCTAAGGCTACTGTAACCATAGTACCACACATGGAGGCTTTAATAAACAGAAATTCATTTTCTCATAGTTCAGGAAACTAGAAGTCTCAGTGCAGAGTACCAGATCTGGAAGGAGCTCCTTCTTTGTCTGTTTTAGCTTCTCACTCATTGCCATCGAGTCAACTCCCAGTCAGATGACTCTTCACTGGGTTTCTGAGGCTTCAAATTATAGTGGGGGAGAACTGTCCACCTTTCCCCCAAGAAGACACTGGAAGGTCTGAACTGCTAGAGACCATCAGCCTTTGGGTTTAGTGTACTATGCCATCAGAGCTTCTAGTAGCTGGAAGTCCTTGGAGCTCCTGTTGCTGTTGTTGTTTACCATAGAGTCAGAACCAACCCTTAGATGACCCTCAGGTAGGTTCTAGGAGTCAGTTAATCACACAGGAGGAGATTGCACATCCTTCTCCCACGGAGCTGCTGGTGAATTCAAACCACGTGCCTTGGGGATTGCAACACAGCTCTGGCCACTAGGCCACCAGTGCTCCCTTGGAGCTCCTAGGCTTGTGAATTCTTCTGTCTTCATTGCCATCACAATCTTCTTCTGCGTGTTGTTGCCCCTGTGTCTAACCTGGTCTTTCTTAATCTCAGACATGATTAATTTTAGGATACACCTTGTACTGATACAGCTTAATTATCCTTAAACAAAACAAAACAAAGTAAAACAAAACACCAACCAGTTTCCAAAAAGAGATTGCATCCATAAGTACAAGGGTTAGGATTGTGATGTGTAGTTGGTGGTAGTGGCAGTGGTGGGCACATTATCATTTATAATAAGTTCCATTTAATCAAATCTCAAGTATTTTATAATCTTAGCAGAAATAGAGTGCTCATACCAAGACTTCCTAAGTATCTTATTTTGCAACCCGAGACAATCTCTCTGCTGAAAGCTGTGGCCCCGGGAAAGTGGATGTGAGAGTGTGAACTCTGAGCCTAGGAAAAGGGCTATGGTCACTTGTCCCTTCACTATTGGCAAAAATAGACAATTCTGGTATGTGTACTTATCTCCAACTAAAAATAGACTAATGTAGGCTATTCATGAAATACTTGGAGCATGTTCTTGCTGCATAAAAGTAAACATATTTTGCCTTTAAGGAAAGCCACATAGGTGTTTAACATAAGATTTAAACAACTGAATTCCAGAAAGGATATAAAAAGGTTTAGTTAACCTCCTACCAGGGAAGGAATTCTCTGTGACAAGGGGATTCAATTAAAAAAAATCATAAAAGGCATTAAAAAAAATCACAACACAGCATGTAGTTAAATGTAGATGGGTTTTTAAATGGATTATAAAACTGATATTGAGTCAGAACCACCTCAAAGCTGACCCTCCAGCAGGCTTTGTTGTTATGTTCCACTGAGTCAGAACCAAGCTGTAGCTGACCCTCCAGTAGATCAGAGGTAAGAAACTGCATGGGAGGATATTGTCTATTGTTCTCTTGGAGAGCAGTTTTAGGAAGCTGTAAATCATGCAGGAGGACACAGCCCATCTTTCTCTCTCAGATTCACTATTGAATTTAAACTGCCAGAGAAACACAGCCTTTGTGTTAGAGGTACAGCTCCCTATGGACAAAGCCACCAGAGCATATTTACAAATTTATAACACAATATGCACAATATTACACAACACTGCACAAAAACATAACTAAGTAAAGCACATTTACCAACTTGATCAATGATTAGCCAGGACCATGCTTGCTCACTCATTATAATATATGTTTCTCAGGGTAGTTATTCTGGTATGAGTGTAGTCTCTGATATTATAGATTACAAATAGGCATACATATTTTTTGATAACTGACAAAACGCTTATATTTTTAATGAGTCAAATTAAAAATATTTGGAAATACTGGAAAACAATTATGATATAGTAGAAACATCAGTAGATTTGTTCTCTGACCAGCTTCCACTCAGGATGCATGACAACAAAATAGTTTCATTTATTACTCTCTGGTTACAATGCTTTTCAGTTGATCACAATTTTGACTTCCATCTCTTGGATGTCCTGTAAGATTGTCTATTGTATTCTGTTGGCTTCTACTTTGAAGGCATTTCTGTTTGGGAGAATTTATTTCTGAGTAAAAGGGAAGGACATATGTTTACCATGATTCACTATCTACTGTGATCATCTATTTAGAAAATTGTGTGGAATCATGGAATGAAAACATTGCATGAGATGTTGTTGTTGTTAGGTGTCGTCAAGTTGGCCACGACTCATAGCAACCCTACGAAGAACAGATCTGATTTGTGCCATGTCCTGCACCAGTGCCACTATCTGTCTTGCTAAAGGCCACTATTGTAGTCTATGTGTCAGTCTATGTCTATCTCATCGAAGGTTGTTCTCTCCTACACTGACCTTCTACTATTCTGATGGGACATTTGAAGTCATCATTCCCCTATCTTAAAGATGCAGGAGTTGATACTAAAAAGCAACTTAAGAATTTAACTAATTTCTTACAAATAGTTGGGAAAGAACCAAGTCCCAGAGTACCAGGCAAGCTTGCATTGATTTTTTTTATTTAATTAAGCCATGAAATCTGAATGTTATAGATAGATGCTCATTTATGACAGTAAGATTCCTGGTTGTGCAGTAGATAAGCTCTCAGAATCCAGTAGAGTTTCTATTGCAGACACTTCCTCAAAAGAAAGATGAGGCAGGGAGTCAGCTTCCATAATGATTGCAACTTTCAAAATCTTATCAGACCATTCTCCTTTGTTTTTCAAGGTCCCTACGAGTTGCCAATGGCAAAATGTTTGGTTGAGCTAGAAAAGAACAAACTGCTGTTTATGGTTATAATTTATCAATACAGACTATATTTCCAAAAGTGGAAATACTTTTTAAAGGCATATTTACTTTGAGAATTGCTTTATGTCATTATGAGATATATAACAACAAAATATTTTAACATTTAGTTGTCTACTTTATGACTTTAATCATGCATGATCATTGCTCTTGTTGTTAAGTGCTGTAAAATTCAGTACCAACTCATAGCAACCCCCTATGAATAATAGATCTGAATCTTATCCTATTCTGTGACATCCTTATCATCTCTGACATACTTGTGCCCATTGCCATAGCACTGTATCAGTCCATATCATTCAGGGACATCCTCTCCTTTGCTGACTCTCTGCCTTTTAAAGGGGTGTGATGTCTCTTTTCAACAGCCCCTCCTAACAACATGCCCAAAGTATATGAGAAAAATGTCACCTTCTTTTCCTCTAAGAAGCACCCTGGCTGCACCTTCTCCCAGACATACCTGTTTATTCTTTCGATTGCCTGAGTGTCACAAAATTGGAAGAAATAGTGTAATAATGGTGAATAATAAATAGCTTTGGAAGCAGGACTGGCATCTGCTTCCATAAAAGCTTGCCTCCGGAAACCCTATGAACATGGAGAGAGGATAAAAGACATCCAAGCCTTGAGGACTCTCCTTCATAGGGTCGCTATGAGTCGCCTGCAACCTTACGGCACTTAACAACAACAATAACAATAAATAAATGAAGTTAAACAAATACTGTATTAAGAGTAAAATACCACCATGATGTCTAAGGTTATCTAAAATACTGTTGTTGATTTAAACTGATAGATTTAAAAATTTATCAATATTTGTGGTCTTCTAATAATTTTTTATTTATTATTTATTATGCTACTGAGATATATCAGTAGGTGAAAATCACATGGACAAGTGCTAAGTCAATTATCTTCTTTCACTGAAAGCTTGAGAGGTCATCCAAATTATTGTCCAAGACTTGAGAAAGTTCAGACAGTTCAGTCAATCATGGGCACCAGGACATTCACCATTACAAGTAGAAGGGTCATCAGAAAAGTCTTGGTAGAAAAGCGTTAGATAAAGCCTAAAATTGCAGAAAATATCCACAGTGAATTTGCATGGAAAGAGCAGGACCCACAGAGGGTGGATACTGGAATTTATTAAGATCCAGGGAAAAATACTTCCTATCTCTTGCTTGGAAGGGAGCCTGAGGGACTAAGCAGAGTTAAAAAAAGATGCTCTATCAGTTCTGAATGATGAGGATTGCTCTGCCTGGGAGAACACATAAAGATACATAACTTACCTCTAGCTCTTTATGACTTGTGTGTAGAGAAAATTCCCTCATAATTGTATACTTTTTGAGACTGTC